CATGAAATTAAACCTTATTTTCAATAAGCAATCCTGAAAAATATTTGGGGTGCTTAACTTTTTTCCAGGTGTATAGATCAATTCGTTTAATAGTAAACGCCATTTAAACGGTAGTTTAAGGTTTCTAGCAATTTACACCCACTATAAAATGTACATTGGGGAACACAGAAGTACTGAGGCATTACGTATGTCTAGCAAACTAATAGCTTGTAATCTTACATTCAAGTAACCTATAGGCTTGTTTTATATCTACGGACGCAAACTTACTAAAGTGATAGAAAAATTAAAGCTTTATCAATGTTCTCCATTATCTAAGTGTTTCAAATACACAACACTGTTTTCAATATTGCACCTATTTCTTTTTATAATAAGCAATGAGCTCATATAAGTCCGTAATAGCTGATGATATAAAAGGGCGCTACCTGGGCGAGTAATGAAGTTGCGAAACGTACTAAAAACAAACAAAATAATAACAAATAATTTATTCTGAATTCTGGATACGTGGTTCCATAGTTCGTGACCGTTACCACCTAAAAATAAATAAATCACAATCTGCAGTTAGGGGCATTAGGTACGTTATAAGAGTGACGGTTAAATTCCACTATTTGATTAGAATAGCCCCTGAGTTGGGAAAAGGTGGTGTTGACTCGCTGCTGCCTTTCCTCTAGTTTATCTCTTCCAAATTAAGAACGGCTAGCGCAGGTAGCTCTCGAATAGCTCCGTGCGAAATGTTACAAACAAGATACACTATGTTCACGTTATCTTTTCTAACAAAATTTAATATACTTTATATTCATGTTTCTAGCCTTACTATCTGTAAAATTTTATTTTTTGTAGATTCGTGCATTTACTATACATATTTATGAGATCGTAACCTATTATATCACCAAAATTTACTGTAAACCCTAAACTCTAATGTTAGTAGCTTTCATTCCTGCAATGTTGGACGTATTCTAAACATGTCACTTATTAGCCGCTGTATAACGGTTCACAGAATGGCTCCGAGTTTTTCAATTACAAACTTTTAACTCATAGCTCTGTCATCTCTTGACCGATTTGAGATGTAATTACAGTTTTGGACCCAGGAAGTCAAACCCTTTCTATTGATGTATTTGAACATGTCCAAAGTCTCATAGATTAATTTCATCTGATCCGGCATAAAATAATTTTAATTTGAGGGTAGGCTGGTAAAGATCCTGATGAGTAATAAAATCAAATCAGGTATACACCTGTCCCACGCTTGGTAATGCAGGCGCACAAATATACAGCTAATAAAAGGGAAAAAATGTCTCATAGATTAATTCACTGTAATTCTGTGTAAAAGAATTTCAAGTGCCGCAGCTATTGAGAAATCCCTCTTGTTTTCATATAATTATTAGTGAAGTGAAAGTGCTTGGATGCAAGACTGAAGCAAGGTGTTGTTTATTTGAAACATTTGGTTAATGTTGAAATGTAAGCAAAGTGCGGCGTCTTTTAACAGATGAGAATACATGAACACAAAGGCCATTGGTAAAAATCATCCACTTGTCCCACACGGTAATATACATCATAATCAAGAAGGATCTTCGTTTGTAAACGAGACCAACAGGGTATGGGTTCATCAAGATAAGGCTTTCAGTCATACCTCCTGTTCATCAGTCTGATATCTGAAGTAGCTGGAGAATGAAATGGATCTTCATGATATTCCGTACAAAGACATGCTGGATATCGCCTATGGATTTCTGTGCGATTGAACTGTTGAAACGGACGCTGATTGTAAGAAACTAATTGTAAGAAACGCAAAATTTTACATCCTCCACGTGTATAGCAGCGAAAATCAATCCTATTCTGTACTTCCAGTACATCATACTGGTTTTACAGGCTTTAGGAGTCTCTACCTTTTACATAGCAGAACAGAGAAGAGGCTGTCGACATAATTAATGTCCATGCCAAATAGTCTCAACACTGGGCAAGGAAAAACATATGTTTGCCAGACGTTTAAAGGTCTGTGAAGAGCATAGTCAAAGAAAATCTTATACAGACCAAAAGTATAATTTTTAATAACAGTACAATTTTTCAATTTGTTTTGAACTGATATATCAGTACATTTTCGGGGGATAATCATAACCAATTTTGATTACTTCAGCCTTGACTCAACTGAGATCTTATGTATAAGTAAGGTAACAGGATTTATTGTGTTCGTCTAACGGTTTAGCACTGATATTAGTGAAAGCTAAATCCAACGTCGTCTGTTTAACTCAATAAATATATTTAAAAGAACTAAATGTCAATTATTTGTGTGTTAATCAGAATAAGGCCAAGTCTGATCTGATTTTAAAATTCTACGACCATATTTTGTTAGTGTTCTCGTTATTGGTATATGTTGTACCTTTCACATTCATTTGTTGTTGGTGATCTAGATTCTAAATTATTAGTTTCTACTGTCTCCGAGGCGAAATTATTATAGACTCATTTTCCTAGCTTTACTCTTAACGCTGATTTATTAGAGCATTTTATTGGCTGCAAAAAAGGTGTTTAAATAATCAATTAATACTAATAAAGCAAATCTTAAAAGTAGTGGTATATGACTCATCTGTAAACTTAATAACTTAATACTGTTACGTATCTGCTTGTTTGTTAATTTCCCGTAGAAATTCTTTCCGTGAAACTTCAGCGATACAAGTCC